TAACCTAAGTCTGTCCGAGTCAATAGAGGTATTACAGATTGGAGTAAGCATATCTACCGTCAATAACGTAAGTCTGACCGAGTCAGTAGAGGTATTACAGATTGGAGTAAGCATATCTACCGTCAATAACGTAAGTCTGACCGAGTCAGTAGAGGTATTACAGACTGGAGTAAGCATATCTACCGTCAATAACGTGAGTCTGGCAATTCAGTAGAGGTATTACAGATTGGAGTAAGCATATTTAACGTCAATAACGTAAGTCTGACCGAGTCAGTAGAGGTAATACAGATTGGAGTAAGCATATCTTCCGTCAATAACGTAAGTCTGACCGAGTCAGATGGGGAATTACAGACTGGAGTAAGCATATCTACCGTCAATAACGTAAGTCTTATAGAGTCAGTAGAGGTATTTCAGATTGGAGTAAGCATATCTACCTTCAATAACGTAAGTCTGACCGAGTCAGTAGATGTATAACAGATTGGAGTAAGCATATCTACCGTCAGTAACGTAAGTCTGACCGAGTCAGTAGAGGTATTACAGATTGGAGTAAGCATATCTACCGTCTATAATGTAAGTCTGTCCGAGTCAGTAGAGGTATTACAGATTGGAGTAAGCATACCTACCGTCAATAACGTAAGTCTGACCGAGTCAGTAGAGGTATTACATATTGGAGTAAGCATACCTACCGTCAATAACGTAAGTCTTATAGAGTCAGTAGAGTTATTACAGATTGGAGTAAGCATACCTACCGTCAATAACGTAAGTCTGACCGAGTGAGTAGGGGTATTACAGATTGGAGTAAGCATATCTACCGTCAATAACGTAAGTCTGACCATTCAGTAGAGGTATCAGAGAACAAGCATAGTTTCTTCACAGATTTTCTTTCATTGAAAATAAATATCTAACGTCTAAGGGACATACATATTATAAAATGAAAGGATTTCAAATGATTATATTGCTATTGTTCTATTGTTAATATTTGTATTCTACCAAGCACGTAGTATTGGGGGGGGGGGGGTGCATACCCTTCCTTTCTAAACATAATCTTTTCTGTTGAAAACGTTCATTGAAAATCTGTTTGCGCCCTCCCCCCACTCACCTTTTGTTGAAGTGTAGAGAAATCATAGTAATTTGGTAATTATCAATAAAATTTGGTTGTGAAAAGAAGTCGAAATCTCCCCACCCAACCACCCAACCCCACCCCAAAGAAATAGGATTTTCGAGTTTGACCACTTTTTTTTCTTATTTTGCTTATCAAAGTTTTTTCAGGTAAGCCAATTGTCAATTTTTTTTGGCTGCCGCTCACCCTTTCTAAAATGATACTTCCTGCCTGTCTATGATTGTCTTGAAATTGTATTCAAAATGAATTACAAAAGTGTTATCCACTATAGTTTCTTTTCATACCTGTATATTATATAATATTTGTTTTTGCTATTAGTGTTATCAATAAATTTCTATGTTTATATATATTTTACGTCAATATCATAACAAACAAAGCTTTATTATGAAAAAAAAAGATTCATTATGTATAAATTCCAAGGACAAACTGATACTATTGTAGATATATTCTATAACACTGAGGATGCGTTTTCTCCTTCCTTCTTTATGAGAAATGATTGGTTAATTGTTGTATAATGTAATGATTGGATGTTATCATTCAAATACCAGAAGTAAGATTATTTGACCTTTACCTATAGGATAGGCGTATTCTATATCAAACATCATTATTGTCATCTACAACCACAGAATAAAATGCTTAACTGGCGAAAATTCCAACAAGGGTCTCATGGGTCACAACACTCACCTGAGTCAATAACCTCCCTCTAGAAACATCTAATTGATAAGGTCAAGATCTAGTAAATGAAAGGAGCCTACAGATTTCTCAAATTTGAGAAATCAATTCCTTTAATTATGCTTTATAACTAAAGTTTGTTCAAATAAGGTGAATCGGGCATACTTGCAGATAAAAAAAGACGAAAAATCTAATCTTAAACTGTCATTATCCATGAAAATTTAAGAAAACCAGTCACGAATATGGGAGTTTTTTCCATATCAGACAAAACAAAAATGTAACCAGATTGCCTACAGTCTCTCAGAAAACGGTAATATGTATGTTATTAGCCTTTTCTTTGAAATAATATTAAATTGAATGTAAGTATTTTTACAAGATTTCAAATTAAATTCCATGAAAATACTTTATTTTATTTTATTTTATTATTTTTTTAAATACTTTATTTTCTACATAATTCTAATGGAGCCGTAAAGTATGGGGAAAGGAAAGTTTAAATTGATTATGGCGTTTTATCTCATGTTTACCCCTTTATCCCGTGGATATGACCTCATTGGATAATTTTTTCATAATCCACAGTTAAGTGCAGTTGTGACGTCACAATGCTTTTTGCATTAGCGAGAAGAAGTAAAATAAAGTTGAGTCCTATATAAAACAGTGTAAAACATTGGTTGTGAAGTATTAGACATGGGATAAAAAGAATCTCCCATGATTTGTAGTTGGATATGACTTTTATCCAACTCGTTGTGTGTTTTTATCCCCTCGCCAAGGCTCGGGGATGAAAAAAAAAACACAACTCGTTGGATAAAAATCATATCCAACTACAAATCATGGGAGATCCTATATATAATGCATCTTGCACCAAGAAGACAGTCTCTAGTAAATGAGTTTAGACTATGTTTTTGGTACTAGATCTATTTTGCCGTCATAATTGTTTAAACTTACCTTTTCCCGTACTTTACGGCTCCATTAGAATAATGTAGAAAATGACACATTTTCATGGAATTCAATTTGAAAACATGTCAAAAGGAACCCCTATACCTATATTCCATTTAATATCATTTTAAAAGAAGGGGTCAAGAAGATACGAAAAACTGTTTTCTGAGAGACTGTAGGCAATAGTGATACATTTCCTTTGTATGAGATGGAGAAAACTTTGACCTTTACTCGGCAGTCAAGGCCATTGAGCAGTGAGGGATCTTTATCGTCATTTGGCCAGTTCCAAAAAATTTTGATCAGTTCCGAATAATTATTAATTTAAGAGCTGATAATTAATAAATTCAAAAGTTTATACCTGATTTTCTTCTTTTTTTCATTGAAAAGGGCAGTTTAAAATATGTTTATTTCGTTGAGTTTACCTAAAATTTATGTCCCGATACACCTTAATTTATCAAGCTATAATTGTAATGCATTATCAAAGGAATTCGTTTCTCAAATTTGAGGACTCTCTAGGCACTTTTCATTAATTAGATCTTGACCTTAAGGTCCCTGATCGCAACAATTTTAATTTACATCTTTTTATCTAGGTTTGATGTCATTTTACAAATTTTACCTGAAGACTTCTTTTTCATTTTGGTGTCTTATGTATTTTTGTTTCCCAGTTTTTTCTCAAACCTAAGGCTTTGCTTTGAACAAACTTTGATCAACATTCATTAACTTTACATGAAGATGCCTACATGTCAATATAACTAATTATGGCCTTGCTCTTCTTGAGAATAAAGATTTTAAGAGATTTTTTCCTATAATTTCTCAATTTCTCCAACAAAATTTTGACCCAATATTTTTTGGCCCAAACCTAGCCACAGGTCCATGATTAGAACCCAACTGATTCTACACTTCATCAAGATGTTTGTATATCATTATGACATATTGAAGCCCTGCTATTTCGAGGATTTTGAAAGATTTTAGCATTGCACAAGTATATAAAACTTTTAAATTTCTCTCTATTGTAGCCCCACCATTGCCCTGTGTAATGCTTGTAAGAAACAAATCGACACTTCATAATGATGCTTGTATATCAAATTTTACTAATCGTGACCACTGCTGTTACTGAAAAGATTTTTCAATAAATTCCAGCGTAATGCTTTGACTAATTTTGTCCTTCTGAAGTTTATGGGGTGTTTTTCTCTCAGATTTTCAACAAGGCAAGGCAACTTTTCAGGGCCCTGTTTTACAAATATATAATTATATAATTAATTTTTTGCAGATATTACAAAAACTAATATTAAAAAAAGTAAGTCAAGATGTTAGAAACAGTTAAAGGTTGTGGTCTTAATCCTTAATCGTAAGTTCTTTTGTAAAACTGACCCCAGGTCTTTAAAATTATTTTTACTATTATTTTTAGCCCTACTTAATTTATGATTTAGCAGCAGTGGTGGATCCAGGAATTTCATAACGGGGGGGGGGGCGCAGTAGAAGGCAAGGGGGGTCTGGGGGCTGCATCGAAGCTCCAAGCGGTTCCAGGTCAAAGTCTTGGTGGGGGTCCGGGGCAAAGCCCCCGGAAAGTGACGAATTCGAACAAATAAGAGGTGTTTTCCCCTTGATTTTAGGATAATGCAAACAAAATATAAAAAGAAATTGAAAGGGGGGGGCGCACGCCCGGCGCTGGATCAGCCTTTATTTAGCAATGTGTTTCTTATAACTTATTCACTTCAAGGATATTTCACAACATCTTTAACATCTGTGTTAACAGATGGGCGCCGGATTTTTTTTCCAGAAATCTTTGGCTCAGGCGAGCTAAAAATATTAGGAAGAAATTGACGGACAAATGTGATTAATCTGTTTCGAAGAAAAATGGGGCTTTTGAGCAGAATATTTTATTTTTTCACTTTCAAACTGTAGTTTAAGACAACATTTAAGTTGATTATGGATAAATATAAGCCAACAAGGGGGTGGACATAAAAGGCCTTTGATTCAGCATCCTACTTCTTTTAAAGAAATAAACATTAACGCAAGCCCATATATCAGAATATATTTTATTGTGTAGTATAGGGTTGGCAAAGTGATACCCTTCCTCTGTTTTCTCAGGCTTGTAACGTGTTGAACATTTTAAAGTAAATTGACATTTATATATATACTAGCTGCAGTAATTAATATATGTCTTTTGAGCGCAACTGGCTTCGGCCTGTTGACAGACAGTTTTCTATTTGTTATATTTTCCTGTCTTACGAGTGCTTAAAATCAGGTCATTGCACGTACGTACAGCTTATTCGTAAACATGCACTGTTGATCATGAATGACAGCGAAGTTCGCGTTCCTCTTACTTCCAGGTCGGACGACAATGGCGTTAAAGTCTGTCCCCCGAAGAGGACTGACGTTACCGTGCCCTGCTGTGGAGCTCCCCTCCCGTCCGAAGATTCACAGGAGGATATCGGTGACATAGCCCGGCAGCTGGAGTATCGCGTGGCAGATAACCCTCCCATTCACCTTAGCTTTATATATGGATTACAGGTAAATGTATGGGAATTTTTCAGTATAATTATGACTTTATCAGCGATGTATATGCTTCAGCATTATCCCTCGTCTCACAACAGTAGTATGTAAACTTGAGACGGAGAAATGAACAATGAATCTCTCTCTCTCTCTCTCATGAAAGTATATTTAAATTAACTTTTTTTTTTACTTCTTTACTTATAGCAAGTCCTCCTTAGCATCAGCTCGACGATTTCCATTCCCATTATCGTCAGCCGTTACATCTGTGTCGGCGACATGGAGCTCGTCACGGCGGAGATTATGTCTACTTTTCTGTTTATGGTTGGTGTGTGTACATTCCTACAGTGTACTATTGGTGTCAGGTGAGACAGCTGGTCACACTTTCACTTGACCTTGCAATAATTCTCGATGCCCGTTGTAAGTAGCGCTGGGGATAAATATGTTGGGGATTTTTTCTATGCTGAGGGAAATAATATCACTCCTGTACAAGCTTTAATTTTTTGTTGTTTTTCATTTAAAAGATGTTCTCCGAGAGGTTTCAAACCCTTTTATTATTTTTTACATACAAAATGGACAAAAAAGGAGATACGTGTAATATCAAGAGTTTCAAAAATGATTTTTATCTATTAATTTTTTAGTTGATTTGTTTATTTTGTTACATTGGCAAAATGTATCCATCAATGGAATTTAGAAGATACATACAGAATTAGGTCTCAATTCGTACTCATCATTTATGCCAGGCTTTGTATAAACCAAACAAAAACTGTAGAGGCCTTGATCTGAAATAATACTAAATTTTAGAAACATATGAGGCACTATTTATAGAGATACACAGTCAACATTTGTATCATATCTACTTCCAATCGAACACAACTTTATGAGGATTTTGATTTTTTTGTTATGCTAACAATGGCATGGAATTTCAAGTTGATTTACGGAAATTAGCATTTTAAGTTTCACTAGAATTCTCATCAGATTAGTAGACACATTATTTTGAAATTATTTATTTTGAAAATCATTAAGAAAAAAATGAACAATTTAACGCTGACAGATTTGGTCAATACACAAGCTTTGACCAGGATATGTCGAGACAATTGAATAAAGATGATAAACAGCAATATATATATATATATATATATATATATATATATATATATATATATATATATATATATATATATATATATATATATATATATATATAAGTTTATTGTGCGCCCCTTCTGTAAGTTGAAATTTGTTTGCTCCCATAATGGAACACTACATGCTACGGACAACGAACAAACAATGCTTCTCCTTGAAAATCCACATTGACAGTTATACATATATATATATTAGGGATGGCAATTTTTAATCGGTTAACCGGTTACTCGGTCGTAACGATGGTAATCGGTTAGAAAATCTGTAATCGGTTAGTCGGAAAAAAATTAAAATAGGTGTAAATTTCCTTAAAACACGATTTACAATGTTAAAAAACCCTGAATATTGATAAGTTATAACGTTTCCACATTCAATTCAGCTGATTTGGAGGTAAATAATTTAATTAAGACTCTCAAGATTGAATTTGTTGGGGGGTAATTGGTCACTTTGTGAAGTGTTAATTGCTGTTTAAATACCATGTCGTTACCCAGCCTGTCTTAATTATGATATTAATCAAATCTTTGTTGAGTTCTGTTAAATGATTGCAATGTGTATCTTACCCCGTCTATCCTTCGCAGTTATCTATCAAATTCTATTTTCAAACAAACATTGTAAATTATTTCAGACTCAGTTTCTGTTTATGGTGACAATGCACAACGACCTTGTGTTGTAACAATATCAATTTCTGCGATATTTAAGAGATGTTTCATTGTTTCCTTATTTTTTTTCTTGCCGTTCGAAATTGAAATAAAATATAATATATAGCGTACTAATCAAGCATTCACGCCTTTTTCAGTTTTCTTGTGTACATAACTAGAGTTTACTTGATAAATAAGATATAAGGAAAATGTGTATTTTGATACGATTAACCGATTAATCGGTCGGAACGTCTTTCGGTTAACCGATTAGCAATTTTGTAATCGATTGCCATCCCTAATATATATATATATATATATATATATATATATATATATATATATATATATATATATATATATATATATATATATATATCGCAATGCCCATTGATCTGGTCATTGATTAAGTTTAAAGGTTGTTGTTCAGCTATTTACTCTCAGTTATTCTGATTTCATCACGGCACATGCATAAAATGCTATGCGTTTGTGTGTGACTTTCAAGTAAAGTTATTTTAATTGAACATGTCTTTAGATGTTCCTCTGCATTGGTGTATTTAAGGATGGGGTTAGGGAGAGCCGCCACCCGGTCATCAGTGTACAGATAGCATTTCAGTACAATTTCATAAATACATTAATTTTGTAAAGAAATTCTATTGTATGAATCAGTAAAAAAAATAATAAATTTTATATCCTGGAGCAATTTTCGAACATGTTGGTATTTGTTTCAGGAAAGGTCAAGTTGCAGCCAGATAAAATGTCATTGCAAACAAGCTGTCCAGGGAATATTTCCTCATTTAGCTTTTGCATGACTGCAATTTAACTCATAGAAATTATTTAAGGAATCTTAAATAATGTAAATATATACATGTACATGGAAATGCAAGATTAAACCACTATATTGTAGACTTCCGCTGATACAGGGAGGTTGTCATAAGTTCCTTCCCGCCATTGCAGCCCTGATGAGCATCCCCATATGGAAGTGTCCGGAAATTCAAGGTTTTTTTCTTAAAAAGTTATTGCTACTTTGATTACAGTAATTATTGTGAATTATGTAGTAATTATTGTGACTGATTACAGTTATCATTGTTACTATAATTACAGTAATTATTGTGACCGATTACATTAATTAATGTGTGTCTTTGACTATTGTAATTACTGTGATTTAATTTGATTGCAGCAATTATTGTGACTTTGTTTACAGTAATTTTTTAAACAGAAGATACCGTCCTTTTCATAGTGAAAAAAGATTGATACTAAATACTTTTGATTAGATAATTATAAAGAGTTCCATTCTAGCAGAACTTTAAATTTTTTCTTGCATGATTTTATACTCGAATTCAATTTTTATCTGTATATTTTAAAGTTTTTAATACACAAAACATTAATTGTTATCCATTGACCAATTCTTCCAATCCATAATTATTTTTTCTGACCTGTTGATCCTCTTTACACGATATGGTAAGATATTTCTGTCATTATTCAATTGTTTTACAAAAAGATAATGAATTTCAACTGAATAAAAAAAGCAGTCGATTACCTAGAAGTCGTTAATTTAAAATTGACAGCATCGTCATCGGGAAACCTTACAGTTACCAATAGTAGCAGTAATGTTACCTCGTCCCCTGTGTACAACCCTACTGAAGTATGGCAGTCACGTATGAGAGAGGCAAGTCGGAAGTCATAATGTTACAATATCGTACATGTCATGTACGATTTCATTCATCAACTTTCTCTAACGGCAGTAACTATGCTCTCTATTTCAAGTTTATGATAATATCAGAACCAAAATAAATAAAATAAAGACTAAAATATACAGAATACAAATGTATGTCAAACATTCAAAACTGCACTTCAACAGATCTACTACATGAGTGTGAAATTGAGTAGAGTAATTTGAAATGGTCAAACATTTTTCTGAATTTTCCATAAGCTCCGGTTTATTCGAGGGCTGTTCAGTATGTTATGTGTATTGTACCACAGCGACGCTTTGCACGATTTCGTGGATGATAATACTCTTGTATAGCTCTGTCCGATACCTTTCCAACGGTGTAAACAAGATCCTTCAGCTCCACGTAGTCCTTTCAATAGAGACAGTCGTTGACGACTGTAAATATGGTAGGGAAACGGGTTGAGAATATTGAAGAAATTAGAGCTTACATAAAAGTTCGCATAAAAGTCGGTCATTCGGTAATGCAGATTTTTACTGAATTGGGGGAAGTTAATGGGTCTGTTAAGGTATCTTATGAGACAGTTCGTAGGCAGAGAAAGAAATTTCTGACTGGCACAGAGTCCGTCAAAGATGCAATAAAATCTGGCCGATCTGTGACTGTAACAGGCAAGGCAAATGTCTCAAAAATTAAGGAAATAATTGAAAATGATGGCAGATACACGATTCATGATATTACCAAAGTTGTTGGCATATTGCTATCGCGGGTGCATTTCATTTTGAGGCGTATTTTGAAAGTACTAAAGATTTCTGCCAGACGAATACCACATATATTGACAGATGACCAAAATGGGCACGAGTACAAACCGCTAAGCAATTGCTCAAAATGTTTCCCAAATTCAAAGACAATTTGCAAATATTGTTACTGGTGACGAAACATGGATTCACTATTTCGAACCAGTAAGAAAAATTGGAAACAAAATATGCATGGCTAACTAAACACGATAGAAGGCCTAAAGAACCATAAGCACAAAGAAGGTTATTTATTGCATATTCTTTTCATGTGATGGTATAGTCGTACAAATTCCGGTGCCGAAGGTAAAAAATGTTACATACAGGTCGGTATTACCGAGATGACATACTAAAAAGGCTCAAGAAATATTATCATAAACAACGCACTGTGTCGGGATTTAGGCATGATCGTCTACTTCATGATAATGCTCCATCGCACACATCTGAGTTTTGAAGTCGTCAAAGGTTACCGTCTTGCCACACCCACGATACTCTCCAGATCTAGCCCCATGCGACTTTTTTTCTTTTCCAAAACTTAAAAAGTTCTTTTCTCGTTGTCGTTACAAGTCCCGACAAGCCTTTGGCTCAGCCCTCTGTCAGTGCCTTAGAGCTCTACCTAAATCAGCATACCGTTACGCATAAATTTCAGAAATGGATTCAGAGATTAAAATTATGTATTTCAAACCGCGGAGAATACTTTGAGAGGATGTAATGTTCATTTTACTATTAGAGTCGAATGCTTTTGCGATATCGTACAATACACAATACGTATCGAACAACCCTCGTAAATAATAGAAATCAGTATCTTTTATGTTTTATTTAGATTCAAGGTGGTATAATGTTGGCCTCACTAACACAAATTTTGATTGGTGCCACTGGCCTGCTGGGCTGGCTTCTGAAGTTCATTGGACCAATGACAATCGTGCCTACTATCACACTGGTTGGGTTATCTCTGATTGACGTCTCCATCGTGTTCTGTGAGACACACTGGGGCATAGCCGCTATGTAAGACAACTAAGTTATTTTTAAAAGCACTGGAGTATATATTAATAAAGGTACAAATTGAGAAGCTTAAACAGAAGTTAGACAGAATTGCTTATTGGGTTCTTTTGCGTGCTTTTTTTATTTGCATTTATAAGGTTTTCCTTTTTTATGAACTCACAACTCGCTGAATTGTTGTCTCTTCTACCTGATTTTCATTTTATGTCATCATTCCCATTATTCCTATATAGCATTGATGTTTCTGTTACCTGCTTTCCTTTTGTAGGATTTTAGTCCCGGCTGTACTGTATTGTTGGTCTTTGTTTAATGTTTTCTTTTGTAGGACTTTATTTCTGATTGTACTGTAGTGTTGTCTCCATTACTTAATATCTTCTTAATGAGGTCATTCCTGGTTGTACTGCATTGTTGTCTCCATTACCTAATATCTTCTTAATGAGGTCATTCCTGGTTGTACTGCATTGTTGTCTCCATTACTTAATATCTTCTTAATGAGGTCATTCCTGGTTGTACTGTATTGTTGTCTCCATTACTTAATATCTTCTTAATGAGGTCATTCCTGGTTGTACTGTATTGTTTTCTCTGTTACTTAATTTCCTCTTAAGGAGGTCATTGTACTGTATTGTATTGTACTGTATTGTTGTTTCTGTCATATGGTTTCCTTTTGTATGACATTTTTCCTGGTTGTACTGTATTGTTATCTCTGTTATTTGTTTTCTTTTTGTAGGACGTTATTACAGGTCGTACTTTATTGTTGTCACTGATATTAATTTGCTTTTGTATGATGCTATACGTTATTCCTGGTTGTACTGTTTTGTTGTCTCTGATATTTGATTAACTTTTGTAGGACGTTATTCCTGGTCATTCTGTTTTCTTTGTATCTCGGCAATATAACTATTCCACTGAAGGTTTACCAGAGAAAGAAAGGCTGTGTGAGCATCCGATACCCGGCCTTCAAATTACTTCCTGTGAGTTTATACATCCTACATCAACTTAATTCAGCACTGAGGTTAATTTTCATTCATATTTTTTTTTATTCTGAAAGTTATCAATCATTTCTTTATCACAGGTTTACAGAGCTAGGCGATATTTATGTTCATCTCGATACCTCTTCCCTGTTTGATAAAAGCTATATAATGATATTTTTCGGTCTCGTTTTTTAATTGCAATTACATTTATTTGAATTGTGTTAGCCTTATTGCCGTTTAAGGTTATATTAGCCGTTCTGGTAGCTTGGCTGGTGTGTGGTATCCTGACGATCGCTGGTGCTTTTTCTGACAATCCAGAGGCTCTCGAATATCAGGCTAGAACGGATGCCAATGTTAAAGTCTTACACAACGCCAATTGGTTTTTCTTCCCATATCCAGGTGAGTGGATATTAACTATCCTGTGATTTGCAAGGTATCCATATGCATACTCGTACCTGTTAAGATTCTGCACCAATAATAAATAGTCAAACAGAAACTTTAATTTATACATGAGAAAGTTATAACAAATTATGCATACCTAGGTCAGTGGGGACTACCAACAGTAAGTGCAGCAAGTTATATGGGTATGATGGCAGCAACGTTAACCTCTATCATTGAATCCGTGGGCGATTACTACGCATGTGCACGGATATCCGGCGAACCACCGCCGCCTGCACATGCTGTAAACAGAGGCATTGCTATTGAAGGCTTTGGCAGCTTAATCTCTGGAGCAGTTGGCTCAGGGGGCGCAACTACTTCTTACAGTCAAAATGTTGGTGCCATTGGTTTTACAAAGGTATGTACAATGTATTCCGGTTTTCATGTAATATTCTACTTACTCAGAAATTAATGGAAATCTTATTTTTTATGCCCCAGGATCGAAAGATCCCGGGGGTATATTGTTTTGTCCTGTCTGTCTGTTTGTCTGTCTGTCGTCAACTTTAACCTAGCCCATTACTATTGCGCTGTCAAGGGTAAGGCTTTAATATTTGACATGAGTGTTCATTATGACTGGTACAGAAATTTTTGATCATGTGACCTCAACTGTGACCTTTGACCTACATTTGAAAAACTTTAACATTGGCCATAACTATTGCGCTGTAGTCTACGTTCCACTCCAGAATTGTGTTACCATCGGGGGCAAAGTGTTTCACAAACACATCTTGTTTGTTTTGTTTTTCTTTTCTTTTAAGATTGCCAGTAGAAGAGCATTCCAAGCAGCTGGAATCATTTTTATCCTATGTGGAATATTTGGTAAATTTGGCGCTCTTTTGACTATGATGCCCAAACCAGTTCTCGGGGGTATAGTTGTCATCAGTTTTGGAATGGTTACTTCAGTGGGCTTATCCAGTTTACAGTTTGTGAACTTGTCGTCTGGTCGAAATCTCTGCATTATAGGACTTTCCCTGTTGCTAGGACTTATGATTCCTAATTACCTTAACAAACGAAAAGGGGTCATAAACACAGGTAAAAATTGCAGTATCAGTTTGTTCCACTCCAACTCCGGTATGTAAAGATGCCCAGGAAAAAAGGATAAAAGATTATATACATGTTCAAAAATCGTACTTTATTTGCTCCAATTCAATAATAAATATACAAATAATTGATAAATCATGTTTAATATTTATTTTTACCAAGGCAATAAAGAGGCGGATCAAGTGATACTGGTGTTACTGAGTACATCGATGTTTGTCGGAGGGGTAGTGGGTTTCCTCCTAGATAACACGGTCCCAGGTAAAAATTAAAAAGATTAGTCACAGTAATAAGATACAGTGATCATATTTATATGGTACTTGTCTTCGTACATGTACAAAGGTATTATCTGTGCACGGCCGGGTGAACTTCTGATTGACAAGTTTAGTTCTAAACTCTAGGGGTAGCAGCATGTGTAAAATAAAGTTTATTTTTCTATCGTCATCAACGAATACCTTCTAGCTTTACAATAATAGAATTTAAGCTCACATAGTCAAGTCTTGACTTTTCCGTGACCTAACGTAACATAACCGAAAAATGAGAAGCATTGTTTAAATGGAAATTCAAATCATCCCATCCAACCGGCGTTATGCAGGATTATCTAAATCATGCAATGTGTGTCAGGTTACAAATGTGATCCAACAAGTAAAAACATTAATAGTGTAATAGAATTTATTAAATGTAACAATCAATCCACTGTTTAAGGATTTTTTTTTACGTATTTAATATCATAAGTTTTATCATAAGAAAAAAAATCCTTGAGCAGATGTCGAATGTATTTTGGAACAAGCTATTGTTATCTCCTCACTTCCTGTAAGTTTTGCTTGGCACCGCAAGAAGCCTCGCTTTATCCCCGAAAAGACTCGTGGGATGTCATTCGAAATTTTCTGCGGTAACGGTACACTAATCAACGAAAAAAAAGAAATGCTTTCCGAACACATTGAAAGAGGTGGAACAGAAGTGAGTTAAGAAACGGTTTCCAGCAGATTCGGGAAAAAAACTCTCTTACCAATTTAGAGGAATGAGACCTACTCGGTAACATTTTGCATTTATTAAAAGCTAACTATCTCTCGAGTAAGCACACGAGTACTAGCGAAAGTTTAGCGTTTGTTAGAATTGCTAGAATTTGCACCATAGATCTAGAGAGGGGTTTCGACTACTATTTTTTTAAACACATTTTTCTTTTGTAACTTCTAAAGATGCTTAAAAAATATGTATGTGGTCTTCCAATAGAACTTTGATGCGTGTCCATAAAGTGTTTTGAATCAAGGTTTGGTAGGAAGTGTTGCAATACCACACTTAATCATTTATAGACAAAAGCTTTCACCTCAAGGAGTGCAGAGGCTGATTACAGTAATACTAACAACAGACACCACTATCCGGTATCATTTTTATAAATGGATTGTTTGATTTTATGTCAGCCCTTGCAGAAAACTAACAATGGATTGATCCGCCTTCACCCCATCCGTAAATTCCGACAGCGACAGTTTGTCGTCCGCATTTTTGTCCATGCGTTTGAAAATGAGTTCAGTCCTTTCCTCCGGGGTGGATTTCTTATGCTCAGACTTCATTGTAGATGCAACCATTCTATGGATTGCCTGGAAATTTTAAAATGTTGTCATTAGTGGCTTGTGTAATTGAGCCTATTGATTCACAAATGAATACAAAAATATCAGAAACGTGCATTTATCATATACGGGTTTTTCCATTATTCATAACCTGTGAAAATCAATAAACATTAAACTCGAGAGTTTTAAGTCGTGTGGTCTCGTGTCGGCTTACCCTAATGATTTCTAACATCTCAGACTTCGAAATAAAACCATCACCGTCTAGATCATAGATCCGGAAGGCGAATTTTATTTTTTCATCCAAGGTTCCCCTCGATGAGACACTGAGAGCACACATAAATTCTCTAAAGTCCAATGAACCATCTTTATTCTCATCGAAAGCCTTGAACACATACTCAGCAAACGATGTGGCATCTCCACGTGGAAAAAAATTCGCGTAAACTTTCTTGAATTCGTCCATTGTGAGGCTGCCCTTTGGACACTCTTTTATGAACCCTTTGTACCATTGCTGAAGTTCCTCTTCCGTAAAGTTAGTTTGTAAATTAAGTTCACTGAGTTCCTTTGGTTCCAGTTTACTGCTCTGTTTTCCCATGTTACTTAGACTTTCATTCACTTGAAAACTTTCAACACTACTATTTGTAATCAATGGAATATTTCGCACATGGCTGCACCTACAACCAATATTTTTAATTGTCTGTGGAATAAATCAGATATTTACCGATTGTTCAGCATCATATTTATGGCAAGTAACTTTCACGTCCTATGTTGTACAATTCCCTATCGGAACTATTCCAGATTTAAACAATTTAACGTCGAGACTTCTTCATGGAGCGTATGTAGCAATTTCATTACTGCTATTGCTGGTGGTATACTTTTATGACCCGATCGAATTAGTATTGACCAATGTCCAACTGTTAGCCACCGAATGTTTATTCACCAAGGCGTTTAAAATTACAAATACATGTAGAAAAATTTAAAGTTCCAATTTTAATTCTTTGCACTTGAATAGTATTCTGATTCTTCTAACCCCGCGTGAACTTATAATCAATGAAGAGTTAATTTCCTAATGCATAGATATTCTATTGGAGTGGGCCGAAAAACCTAGTCCTCAACAGTTGTCAGTATAAACAGCGAGACTCCTTCACATCTCTACGCACAATAAATTCTAGAAAACGTCTCAGTGCCCCGAATGCAATATTTTTTAGAACAGTATATGTAATCAATGAGTCTCCATTGTCAGTTTCATTCGCAAAAAATAAGAGCGAGTGCGTGTTTTATAAAAACGGCAGTCTTAGATGACACGTTTCAATAAATTATAGATTAGAAATTTCTCGTACTGCATTTCTGAGAAAGGTTAACTTCGAAAATCGAATGTAGGTATAGTAGTTTCATTTAATCAATTAAATGTTCAGATGTTAATTTGATTTAAGCCTTTTATACTGTATTTTTTTTTTCTTTTTTTTTTCTTTTTTTTTTTGTTAGATGAGAAAATTTCACTGTAAAAAGTTTTGATTCTTTGATTAAGTATTAATTATTACCAGTTTTATAATTTTTCTTCCCTACTGTTAAATTTAATTTTCCAGCATCAATTTATGAACACTATTTAAGAATCAGTGTGTTCAAGTGCTCAAATTAAATTATTTGCTGTAATATATATATATATATATATATATATATATATATATATATATATATATATATATATATATATATATATATATATATATATAAAACATGGCCGTAGGAACCGGGGGGGGGGGCACGGGGGGGGGCGTGTTTTTTTTTTTGTTTTTTTGTTTGTTTGTTAAGTAATTTTGGTAGTTAATGGGTTTTTTTTTGCTTGTCAGGAAATATTTGGTAGTGCCCCCTCAACGTCAACTGAAAAGTGTATGGCTGTGCCCCCCCCCCCCCAAACTGAAATTGCTTCCTACGGGCCTGATATATATATATATATATATATATATATATATATATATATATATATATATATATATATATATATATATATATATATATATATAATATATATAAGCATTTATTTATTTTCTGGCTAATTCGCCTGACATTGTTCCTCCTATAGGGAGCCGAGAGGAGCGCGGAATGTTGAAATGGAAAAGGCAAGTATCGTCTGATACAGCAGACGACAAGAGGAGGAGACTTCGGGTGTATGAACTACCATACGTCACAGACTTCCTGTACAGACACAAGGTTTTCAACTACATTCCATTTCTACCAAGTTTCAGGGCACACAGTCATATAAAAGCCATTTCAAAGGACAGAAAATAATGAGGATATGTTGTGATAGTGACAAAGGAAGAGTTAAAGAAACACACACACACCTCTCTGTGTCTTCCTTATATTATTTTTATATTTAGATGTATTCCTATGTACGTGTGTAAGAAATTATATTTTTTTTTCAAACAAATAGACATGTATTCAGCTGATTTGATTGATAAACACTTTAAGTGTATATTTTCTAAAATTTTTATTAATATATGTATCATTTCAGCATAATAAAACAGACTTATCATCTTCAAACCAGTTTTTCTCTGCATCTTGTACTCACTAGATGAAGCCAAAATGTTTGATAATGCGCACAGCATTCTTGTTGCTTTTTGATATTGCGCACAACATTCTTATGGTTGAGTGAATCCCTATACAGATCTTTTTTGATTAATTTTATTTGATTATTATTAAGTTATATTATCTTTATTCCTTTTTAGTCCAAATACAATATATTTTTATAGAGTATTCCAATCAGGTAATTATGTTGAGTTTGTTTCAAGAAATGTTGAGTTTGTTTCAAGAAAAGTTGTTGAAGATTTGAGATTTTCTTAAGCAACAGATTGCAGAAGAATTTAATATCTTGATGGATAATCAAACACTGTTTTCTGTTTCCATTTGATATGGCATACATAGGAACAAAAGTTACATTTTCAGCGATAGCCACATGTACTAAATTTTGATACTGCAAAAGAGTGTAATTAGTCCCCTACCGGTGAAAAGGGAGGGGACTATAGGTTTTCTCTGCGTCTGTCCATCCGTCTAGCTGTCTGTCCTTCGGTCTTTCCGTCTGTCCAACGTGGTTTTCCGCACTTTTTTACTAAACGCTTGCAGATATTGAGCTGGTTTTTGGTATGTGAGCGTATCTTGATGAGTTTATACAGATCAAGTTTGCATTTCGTTCCGCTTCATTGATTTTTGAGGGAATTACATGTACCTTTTCAATTTTTAAGGGTTTTCCGCACTTTTTTTCTAAACTCTTGCAGATATTGAGCTGATTTTTGGTATGTGAGTGTATCTTGATGAGTTACAGATCAAGTTTGCATTTAGTTCCGCTTCAACGATTTTTGACGGAATTATGGCATTTTCAACGGGAACCAGATTACACTTACCGGTAGGGAACTAGTATTGTAAAGCAGTACTCTCAGAATGCTTGTTTTCATCTATTTTTATTATTGATGATGACCTACAATTGATATCACTCTTCAAAACAGTCGGGAATATGTTAAAATATGTGCAATTTCTATACAAGTGTTCAAAATTTGCTGGCATTAATCTTTTTATTTATCAAAAAAGTGCTAATTATTTGTTCATAAACCATTTTATAACTATTGTTTAAGGAAAATAATAAAATGCAACGTTTGAGTTACACATATTATTTCCTGACATACAGAATTAAGTCTGAAATCTGAAACGTACTTTTTTAAAACCACAAAGAGAGATAGAAAATTTGGAGCATTGACATGTATTATAGACAATACTGATGTTAATGATCATAAACTTTGAAATTCCCTCTTCTGAAATAATTTAAATCGGTAATAACAGAGACGTTCGGAAAAACTGAAATCACAAAATATAATATTGACTTGAATATGGGCTGCTATTTGATTGTTTGGTATTATATGACTGGGATGTGAGAATGTTCTTTTAAGTTTAGAAATATGCTTCATATTACTGCCATTAATCAATTCTATTTGATATCAACAGTCTACCTTTCCTCAAAGGTTTGGCGCACACTTTGATAAATAAAACTCACACAATTTGCACCATCTCTCATCCTGAATGGAACAATATCCATTATAATACAGCATTAGAAGTTAGATTAGTGATTAATTAAAGTAACATCACCATATCACCTATATGAGATAAATCAAAGACAACTACATGATGAAATTAATATCTGATGATAATTTGCTGGCCTTTTTTATTCCCGCGACTAATTATAATGCCATCAGTAGATTTCTGAGTTGGACCAATATCTATTTGATTAACCTAATGCAGTTTCTCGGGGACCGTGTATTGTGGGTTCGTATTTTTATGTAGCATCGGCTTCTGATGGTGAAATATGGATCACCCAGTGCTGATCTAAATGTCTGTGATGCTTTGCGTGACAGAACCAAACTCTGGCCCTTCTCTGTCACGGTTAGAACTGATAAATACACTCTAAGTGCCGCCCCAGGCACAGAAGCCTCCTTTTGTCGACACACACAGCAACATTTTTACTTCCCTCATCATGATCAATTCGTATAAAAACAAAAACGGTACGATTGTTATTTTGCTGCAATACTTGATTCTGGTCACATTTCCCCTTTGGCTTCATGGAAAGACCTGCTCGAAGAAACTTATCTAAAAGAATCGTGTCCGGAGACTGGAAGCGCCGCTTTAGAATGCTGACGAGTATTGACGACCTTCGATCCCTCCGCTTCTGGAAGGCAGTGGCGGCCGAATGTGCTGGGTCACTTCTGCTGATTCTTGTAGGATGTGGCTCGTGCATAGACTGGGATAAGGAAAACAAAGTAGTAAGGGTATCTCTTTGTTTTGGGCTATCTTACGCCACTGTCATCTGGACTTTCAATCACGTGAGTGGCGGTCACATAAACCCCTCCATCACGTTCGCTCATTTTGTGACAAGGCGTGTAAGCCTGGCTCGAACTATCCTGTATATTGTGGCTCAGATAATTGGAGCTCTGATTGGGGCTGGGATTCTTAAGGGTCTCACCCCATCATCGCGGGGCGGGGCCGCTACAAAACTTCACCCGGAGATGAATAGTGGTCAAGGATTTGGTGTGGAGCTCTTCATTACCTTTTTCGTTGTTTTGACCTACTTTGCTACTCACGACCGGAAAAGAAAAGACCTTAGCGGATCCTTCCCCTTAACCATAGGTCTAGCAATCGCCGCTTGTCATCTGTTTGCCGTACGTTTAATCATCATTATCCGAACTAAATATATATTCAATATGATTACATAATATCCAAATGTTCTTGCATTGTACATGTTGATTTAATAGTTCTATTTATTTTATAAAACGGTAAGACAAATACATGTATCTTGGAACAATTTGTTATCCGGCTGAAAATAAAACATGCAAACTTCTAGTTATTTGTGAATAATTTTGCAGTACAGCTTCACAGGAGCAAGCTTAAACACGGCGAGAAGTTTTGGTGCCGCGGCCATGGATGGAGAATGGAGTGATCATTGGGTGAGATTCATTATTCAATTAAACAAAAATGTTGGTTTATCAAAATAACAAGGAGTTAATCTCATATTCTTCTAAAATCAAAATTTTACTTTTATTATTATTATTATTTAATCACGAAAGTGTGAAGAAAACAGTATCTAAAATTTAATAATTTTATTCTTAAATACGACATTTTATGTAAATCTCAAATGTATTCTGCCTGATCAATGTTTAGATTTACTGGTTAGGCCCATTCGTTGGGGCCACGTTAGGAGGACTGGTGTATGACAACTCTTTTGCTTTGAATGCTTCACTGGAAAAAGCTCGAGCTTTCCTACTGGCGAGTGAATACGAACACGACAGTTATCCAGCAAAGAAAACTAAAATCAAAGTAATTCAGGAAGAAACAGAAGAAGTTAAAAATACCTCAGACAAGCCAACAGTGGAATCAGCCTGAACAACCTATACATAATGAATACAGGCAATGGTGTAGATAGAACGAATTAATTTGAAAACATTACATGTAGTGATTCCATTTTTTCTTCGTCGTTTTTTTCCGGTTGTTCTTCGAACACTCCTCCCAAAGGTTGTTTTTCTTCAGCTTGTGGATCGATCATTTCACAAATCACGACAGACCTTCCGTTGTTGTTGGTAACCAGAAATGTTTTCTGCTTGTTCTTGAATAACGTTAAAGCCAGCGGTAAATCTAAACCGTCTGCCTTTGACATTACTATTTCTTTTTGTTCCCCATCCAAAGTGAATCTGCAGATGTTGTGAGACCAGCGACCAACGACTAGCAAACTTTGATCGTATATCTTTAAATCTCGGCAGTACTTTAGTGAGTCTCCGAACATTATGGAATAATTTCCGGATGAAGAAATGCTATGAATGGTGTCAGTTTTCCATCCTGTAAAATACACATTTTCGTTGTCGTCTGAGCAAATGTACCTCGCAGAACAATCTCGAACTGCTGTTGTTTTAAGGATAGCCCCAGTCCTGTCTAGTGTTGTGAGGTGGGTTCCACACGCTACAACAAGCACCTCTCCAATTTGAGCTATCCCAAAACACTCGTACCCTATATGTACAGATTTAATCACCTTCAGGTTGTCCAAATTGAAGAACTGGATCATTAATTCATTTGGTAAAGTTACCACAAGCTGATTATCATCAAGAAGAACCATATCACGTGGGTTTCCCTGTAGCATAATTTCGTTAAGGATGTTGCCTTCTTCATCGTACAGAAGAATTCTGGGATTGTTACTATCGGCCAGTATAACCCTATCATCTGGCGCATAGAGGGCACCCGTTATCCAAGGCATTGTATCATTAGGTCCAAGTTTTACCTCAAAAATTTTCTTGATATTTATTTTCATAGTTCAGTACAACTGGGTTGTAAGGAATTTCGAATTACCTCAGTTTTCACTCCCTTGTTACAGAGGCCTGTATATCTATATACATGTATAAGGAAGTTCTTTAAAATATAAGAAAGTTCTAAGTAAGTAATGAGGAAGTTCTTAATATCAAAACATACAAATTTACTACTTAGACATTTTAAATTGTGTAGAAGGAAATATTAAGTAATTTTTATCTGTAAAACTTATATTTACATTTTAAAATGATTTTTTTTCAAGGGGGAGAGCCGCTTTGTTTCTGGTAGTTTAAATACATTTTAAATATTACTCGTCAGCCGTTGTTTTACTTTTTGGAAAGTCTGCGGCTTTAGTTTGTACATCTGTTTTACCAAAATTGCTTGTTGGTTCTCAATTAACGATGTATAAAGAATGCCACTTTGACTTTCAAGCAAACAACAAAAAATGTTATATTATGGAATTTTTGAATATTTAAATATTTCATGATAAACAAGTTACATGTATTTAATTTAAAATAAAAACACATACGATCAACATAATATATGTATATACATGTACACAGTTGATTAAACATTTTCACGCCGGGGATGATGTTATTGGAGGTGCGTGTTTGCTCTGCTCCCGATTTGTATTGTTTAAATAGACTTTGAGCTTGAATATTATACAATTATTGCTGGTTTTTGAGGTCACTACGATGATTTAGACACCTGAGGAGTACAATAGGAGGAGTGAATATTGTACTTCGAAGGTTGCTAAATCATCGTAGTGACCGAAAAAACAGCAATAATTGTTTTATTATATGATTCAATGATTAAATGACACATACTCATTATGAAATCCATGCCATCTTTGACTAGCCCCCCCCCCCCCTCCAAAAAGGAAAAGAATTCTACCCATTCAAAATTTTATTTAGTTGGATGTAAAGGTCCATAAACGAGGGGAGGGGGCTTTCATTTAAATTTTTTATCCTTAAAATTTAAATTAAAACTTTACATTCTCAAAAGGTGGGGAGAGGGGCAGGCCTCCTAAAACCAATCCCCCACCCCACCCCTCACCCAAGAATCTATGTGGCTTAATGTGATGTTCACATGAGTGGAAGTCAGGTGCAAGTGAAATAACTTTCCAAAACTATTTGCATCAATTTGGAATTTCCCTATCTATTTTTGGTCCAATGTAGAATAAATAATTCCTTATATTGACCTGGAAGGTCACGTGCAAGATCAATATAACGTAGTATTTTTCTAACATTGTTGGATCTCAGCCAATCCGGGAGATGGGAATAATCCAATCATATAATAATGTTTGTTATCTCTATATTTCATTATAAAACAGAATAAACCTTCGGAAAAATTTCTTTCTTATGGATGATTTATTTTATATCTTAGATAGTCAAAATTCACTATTAAGTAAGAATTAAGATTTGGCTAAGAAAAATGCTGTTCGTTTTGGCTTGAGTTTCCGAGTTCCTAACACACATTCTTGTAGCCAAGATTTATAAAGGATTTGGCCGGGGAGATTCAAATTCTACATTATAACCGAGATATCTTTATATCCGAGTCCCTTATAAGTGAGCTTACTGTATTTAGAGATATATTTACCTCTTTACCTTACTAGTGAATGATAGAGTGCATTATAAAAGTGTGAGTATAATTAAAGAATCACTGTCTAGTTAGTAGAGTATGCCAGGGCATCAACGATAGTTGGAAACGTGGGATAATTTGCATAACGGGCGAAGCCCGTTATGCATAAATTATCCCACGTTTCTCACTATCGTTGATGTCCCTGGCATACTCTACTAACTTGACAGAGATTCCTTATATTTCCATTTCATTGTGAAATAAAATTGTAAATTTAGATTTTAAAATTGTAGATTTAAATTACACGAGGCCTCACATGTCAATTTCAATAGTCCCCGCCCACTGACGTCAAACACAAAGAATTACATGCATATTAGGCCTCCTTAGAGTCAGACACAAAGATATCCGCACGAGAATTACATGCATATTAGGCCTTCTTAGCTCCTGACCTTTCGCTTGGCGAAATTTGCATTCCGTTAGAATGATCAAGAAATCAACTCTCCTAACTTTCAAAGAGTTATCACAGAGAAAACAAATAGAAATGGAAATATATGATAATCATCATTTTCGCACTAATAACTTTTTACTGTATTATGCAGGTAGTCTACGTTTTGCTACTATCTACGCATGAACTATGATTAAGTTATTTCTTTGTAAAGGCCAGTTTACACGGTAAAGCAAGCTGTATAAACCTTGTCGTATGCAGCAAAATGCTACCGTGTGTACGGCGCTATTACACGGAATTTAAACCTCTCCGGAGTCATATATTCCGCGCGTTCGAATAGAGCGTGTCTCTATTCTGTACAGCAAGTCGTATGAGACTCTCTCTCTCTCTCTGGCCAATCGGTGGTCTGGGATTTGGGTGATCTATTAATGCTTCACTAATCAATTCAATTTTATAAAAGAATACTTCAACATTTTTATACGTGTATATGTACCTGAGTTATGGCTTGTTCAAATTTTAAATGTTTTTTTTTTTTTTGGTTACATTTTCGCTGAAAAATATGAAACAAATCTTATAAAATAATTAAGAGCGAATATCAATCTTTCAATGCTAAAACCTTAGTTTAAAATGGATGTTTTGAAGATCCATCAAATAAAAAATTGGTGCATATGTAGCATTCCTCCTTAAATGTTTTTCAAATAGACGGTTAATTTTATATTACCAGTGGCCATAAAAAAAAATTAAAAAAAAAAAAAAAAAAAAAAACGCAGTGTAAGAGCAAAAGTTCTGCTGGTAAAATTGAATCTCTCATTAATGTGTTCCGCTTTTTTATAAATGGGGACACTATACGTCCAGAAGATACAAGATGCAGGATTTTATTTATCCAATTTGGGCCCCCGGAGGAGCAAAAAAGATTTACAAACATGAAACAAAAGAAGGAGGAAGATCCAAATGATAGAACAAACCTGATCTTAAATATAATGAGCAGTGCTTAATTGTATAATCATTGATAAATGCATCTACAAGAGATATACTGAATATACATATTGTATATGTTATAATAATAGTCAAGAAACTGGAAAGATACATATATGCATATCAAAGAACAGAAGAGATGATATATTGCCATACATGTACATGTATATACATCCCCAAATATATTTAATTTTTTTTTCCAGTTAAGGTAGATTATCAAGGAATCTAGCAAGTGATCTAAGAAGATCATCAAAATCTGCCATATATCTATTCGCAAAAAATTTCTAGAAAATCTTAAAATAGGAGTTAGTTCTTTAACATGAGCATGATATGCACCATAGTGATCCCTCCTCCCGATCCATTGTCTGACCCATGGCATACCTCTAGATCTTCTTTGCGGGTACAGCAGTGATTACAAATGGAATTATCAAAATGCACATTAAAATAACTTTCTTCCTCTTCCTGTGCTTCTATGTTCACAAAATGAAAAAAGAAAACTGTACTTCTTCAAAGGGGCGTTTCGTTTGTTTAATATAAATAGCAATAGAATGGATTGTAAACCTGTTTTACCATGTATACATGTAAGGAATATATTACAAAAGTTGTATACGACAAGTTGTATACGACATGTATTACAGTGTAAACCGGCCTTAAAAGAAGTGCCCTTTTCTGAAATGAGATTGAGACGGAATTATTTGAGCGGGTAAAGTACAAAAATACTATACAAATTAAAAAAAAAAAGACAATTACCATAGTTCCAATGACCATAAAAACTTAATCAGTGACATTAAGGTTCATAGTCCCTCTGGTCAATCATAGAAAATGTTTCTTTACGTTTATGTTTTTGTAAAAGAAAATTATTGCATTTTAAAGTAAAATGCGAACAATTTTAGCATAGCTTGTGGAGGAAAATTGGACAAAAATACATTTCAACTTGACAAATTTATAAAGGAATAGTAGACATATATTCCATTTAGAGTTACCTCTCTTATAGTATTCATGAACCTCAACGCATAATGAAGACCTTTCTAAAATAACAAATATGCGTAAAAGTAAAATTAACAGCGCAGTACGTAACGAACAAACGTAAATGCAATTAGATTGGTTCTATTTGCATAACGGTCAATACATAAAAACAAGACGAACCACTTAAGGAGGGATTCCTCTCATATTTCTTGTATTTAAAATTTAATGAAATTTTCATAGATTTAAGAAGACATTATCATTAAGTGATGTTATCAATTATATTAAATTTGACCGTTTTATTTTAAAAGCAAGGTCAGGTCAAGGTCATTATCTTTTTCCTTGACCTTAAGAACAAAAAAATACCGTTGCCAATCATGCGATGCCTACTTTTATTTCAAAAGATTAAATGTTTATCTTTTTGCATAAAAGGATATTACCATATGGGATCTATCAGATCATACTACCAAATTGACAGATAATTTGAGTAAAATAGATATTGGCTAATCCGAATTTCCTCTATTTTTCTTAAATTTTGGTTATTTTTATATGCCTCGTATATTTAAATTTCTCTTATTTTCACATATGGTAATGTAGTCATATTAAGATACAAATTAATATAAAAACAAGTTTACTAAGAGAGAAAAAACACT